TCCTAATGAGCACCTGGAGCCTTAATACATGAGTTAAAGCTCCCCTGGAGTAAGTTAGTGCAGCTGCTCTGCCGCAGCTCAGGGCTCAGCTCTTCCGGCACAGCGGCATTCCCTCCTCTTACTGCTGGGGATACCGGGACTGCCGACAACTGGATTTCCACCATGGCTCGTACCCTTTGGAGGGGACCATGACTGATAGTCCAGGCAGGGCTTTGCAGGTCAGCCATCTCTTGTTCCCTCTTGCTGGCGTACAGAGTTGATAGCCCTGAGCTTCTGTCCTTTCATCCCCCTTCTCAAAGGCTTCTTGCTTCATATTTCTGTTACATGCTCACCTCTGGGTGCCTTTCTGACCAGACACTAAATGTGGTATTACAGATCTATAAGCTCTTCTGTCATTCTGTAAAGATGAAAAGGTAGCACTCACCATCCCAGTCCTGATTTCCAGGTTATAAAATAGTAACTTCTCTTCATGCAAATTTAGGGGGTTATTTCTGGGAGGCCACCTCGGTGGCTCAGCAGCCTTTCAGTTCACCCAAGGACCTCTTTAGGCTTTGAGGAAATGGACTATTTTTGTAAAGGGACCTGAAACAAGTCTTGTGAGGAGCAACTGAGGGAGCTGGGGGTGTTCAGCCTGGAGAAAAGGAGGCTGAGGGGAGACCTTCTCACTCTCTACAACTCCCTGAAAGGAGGGTGTAGCCAGGGGGGGAATTGGTCTCTTCTCTCAAGGAACAACCAATGGGACAAGAGGAAATGGCCTCAGGTGGTGCCAGGGGATGTTTAGGATGGATACTGGGAAAAATTTCTTCACTGGAAGGGTTGTCAAGCCTTGGCAGAGGCTGCCCAGGGCAGTGGTGGAGTCCCCATCCCTGGAGGGATTTAAAAGCCGGGCAGACGTGGTGCTGAGGGACATGGGTCAGTGGTGGCTTTGGCAGTACCAGGTTGATGGTTGGACTCTGTGATCTTGGAGGTCCCTTCCAACCCCAACAATTCTATGCTAATACAGAGAAGGGATGGAAGTGGTGCCCTCTGCCTAGTGAAAGAGTATTTACAGTAGCCTTATTTGTGGTGCCAAACGGAAATGGAAGGTAGCAATGTTTCAGGGTTGGAAAGGGAACACCTGTACTCAGAAGTCCGAGTCCGCTGTCCTGGGCAGGGGCACCTCCCTGCAGAGGACAGGACCAGTACTCTCGCCCTTTGGCTTCTTGCTTCCACCTCTTGGTGAGTGCAAGACCCGCCTGTATTTCAGGAGGGGTGGGCATTAGCTGTGCTTTGAACCACTCTCTCCGTGTCCTGCAGAAACCTGGGCTCACCCTTGATTATAAAGATGCTGTTCAGGGTGTTGACTGGCTCCAGGCCCCGAGAGAGATTGCAGCATCTCGGTGGCTTGTCCTGTGCTCCCAGTTCCCTGGGGGTGGGTTCCCGGGGCATGTGGGACCAGATGGCAGCTCACCCACATGCTGGGTTCCCAACGCACGCAGGCACATCTCCGTAGGGAATATCATTTCCCTCGGTGGGTGCAGGGTGGCCCCTTGAGCACCAGCCCTGTCTTTGCAAAGCGTGCATTGCTACTGGGAGGAATAAGGGTTAATTACTGCCAACTGGCCTGAGGAACATGCTGCCCATGTTCTGTTCGCCTCCTCTCTTCCTCAAAGTATGGTGAGACCTTTAGGATTGTTGTGATTGTGAGAAAACGAGGGAGGTTTCTCTCTTCCCCCTTCATGAACGTGTGTGACACTCAGAAGAGCCCGGTTACGTGAAAATAACCCTGTCTTCCTTGCTCAGGCTGGTGGTGGTTAGTGTTAATGGAGCAAGTACCAGCTGTTCAGGCGGGGAGGCATCTGAGGTGGCATTTAGGACATCCCTGCAGCTAAGCCAGCTAAACCAGGCTGCCAGCACTCGCCATACCTGCTCCAGGCCACCCAGGCTGCCCGGCACCAGGCGGGCTCACTGCCCACCCCTCTTGGCTTCCTCTGGCTGATTGCATGGAAAGGAGAGCAGGTATTTTGGGAGCGGTTGGAGGAAGAGGTGAGAGCGGTGGAGTTCGGGTCTGGTTCCTCCTGAAACTCCTTGAGGCTCTGAGACGGTGCTGAACTTCAGGGTAGGGTCTACTTCTGCTCTGCCCCAGGCTCAGCTCTCGGGCAGAAGTTTCTAAGCCGCGTGTGAGCCTTTTTCTAAAGTTAAAAGTGCAAAAGTATTTCAGCAAAAGCAGGAGAAGATCTATTTGTGGATGTTCAGGTCAGCTTAGGTTGGAAATTTAAAGTAATGATCTGTTGAGCAATCTTTTAACTCTGCACGGCTGCAGCTTAGGGTTACAAAGGTCCTTCTGCAACTCGAGCTGAAACCGTTCCCGTGCCAGGCCCTGGACCGAGCACGCGTCCTGGAAATCTCCCCGTGGGTCGGAGCAGAGCTCTCACCTGCCCTGCCTGTGCTTTTGTGTGTTATAAACACTGACCACGTATTGTATGTACTTAACATGTTAAATAGCGACGTGCCAAAGAGACTTCTGTGCTTCAGCCATTACCCACAGCCCTGCTGTGTTGCTTTTCTCCTGATGCATGACGGGGGGAAAAAAAAAATCAGTCTATTGGTCTAAAAAAAAAAAATATTGGTTCTTTAGTCTTGGTTTTCTTGGTCTAACATAGCTACGCTTTTTTTCCAGTATAAAAAGTTCCTTCCATCTTCTGCTCTGGTTTCTCAGCAAACCCCTGGCATTCACCCCAGAGGGGAACCTGTGGGGAGCAGGACACCTCTCCTGCCACTCCGGTTTGGCCAAGACAAATCTGTAGCATCGTCCATAATCTTCTTCATAACCCGCTGTTCTCCTTCCATTGACTTTGTGATACAAACGTGTTTGGTTTGTGGGTGCCCTGAGGCTGGGCAGTGCCTGACGTTGGCCCACCCTGCACCATGGAGGTGGAGCGGGACGGAGCCGAGGTGGTGATGGGATTTCTGTCTCCTGGCGTGGTTGCATTTTCTTCTAGGGCTTTTGTCCTGACTGGTGAAGCCTGTGTGAGGGTGGGCTGTGGGGTGGTTGCTGTGTTTGGCTTCTCAGCCAGGGAGTTCCCTGAAGGGCTTCCTGCGTGGGCACAGCGGGCAGCAGATCTGGGTGCTGCAAAGCTGTCTCTTGCTCAAAACAGCTCTGAATAATCTAACCCTTAAGGATTTTGTGGAGAAACATTCAAGTGTTTTCTCTGACTTGAGGAAAACCTTTTGAGATGCTGTTGGTATCACTAGGTAGAGCTGTCTGCGGTGGCCTTAGGGCAACCGCATCTAAAAGGAGCTTAATGGCTGCAGGCTGTGCGCTGGTTTGATGGCCCAGGAGCAAGAAGCTGGTACAATTTGGGCACAATAGTTCAGCCTGGGCCTTGGAGGATTAATGAAGGGCCGAGGTTTAATTTTGCATTTTAACAAAGATTCTTACTCTGGCTCAGTGGTGGGAGTTGGAGGAGCTGAGTGGCAGCTGGTGATGAAAATGGAGATGGCACTGCCCAGGAGGCTTCTGGGCAGCTCGCTGGTTGCTCATGGACTTGACGAAGAACAGGTAGTAAAAGGCCAGCTCCTGGGGGCAGGGCGCTGGGTATTCTGCTAAACCAGGGTGGCTGAAATCTCCTGCGGGAGCCAACCCCCCAGGGGTCAGTGAGGGGAGTGGGGCCAAGCTCCAGGTGCTGGTGGGAGCCGGAGACACCCAGCTACGCCCCACACTCACCTCAGATCCTGGGAAGGAGAACTTTATTGACCATTAATGGGCCAACATTAATGGTATGAGCTTCAACAAGACCAAGTGCCAGGTCCTGCACTTGGGCCACAACAGCCCCACGCATCGGTACAGGCTTGGGGAAGTGTGGCTGGAGCTGCCTGGAAGAAAAGGACTTGGGGTTCTAGTTGACAAGCAGCTGAATATGAGCCAGCAGTGTGCCCAGGGGGGCAAGAAAGCCAATGGCATCCTGGCTTGTATGAGAAATAGTGTGACCAGCAGAAGTAGGGAGGTGATTGTCCCCCTGTACTCGGCACTGGTGAGGCCACACCTGGAGTGTTGTGTCCAGTTTTGGCACCTCAATCCAAGAGAGATCTGGAGGTGCTGGAGCGGGGGCAGAGGAGGGCAACGGAGCTGGTGAAGGGCCTGGAGAACAAATCCTACGAAGAGCGATTGAAGGAGCTGGGACTGTTTAGTTTGAGGAAGAGGAGGCTGAGGGGAGACCTCATCACTCTCTACAACTGCTTGAAAGGACACTGTAGAGAGGTTGGTGCTGGTCTCTTCTCACAGGTAATTAGCGATAGAACAAGAGAATATGGCTTCAAGCTCCAACAGGGTAGGTTTAAACTGAACATTAGGAAAGAGTTTTTCACAGAAAGAGTGGTCAGAGATTGGAATAGGCTGCCCAGGGAGGGGCTTGAGTCGCCATCCTTGGATGTGTTTAAGAGTCATTTAGATGTGGTGTTGGGGGATATGGTGTAGGGGGGAACTTTGTAGGGTGGGGTTGATGGTTGGACTCGATGATCCCAAGGGTCTTTTCCAAACTGACTGATTCTATGACTTAAAGGCTGGGGAGTGTTCAGCAGCGAGAGAGCATCGGGGCAGCCCCTTTGTGCCCCCCTCCCTGGCCAGGCAGAGAGGACAGGGGGCTGCTGGAGGATCACAGGTGGAGCAGGATCCCAGCTGGGCACGGGGAAGCTCGGCCGGGGCGGAGGGCTCGGTGCCGGGGCACGGAGCCTCCTTGCGGCTATTGTTCCCGGTGGTCCCGCACCCGCCATCGGTGCGGCACAAGGCGGGGGCCGGTGACTCGTCTCCCGAGAAGCCGCTCCGCTCGGCCACTGGGCGAGGAAGGGGCTGCGTGGCCGGCATCCACCCCCGGGCGGGGTGATCCCTCCATCGCTCTCTCCATTTTCTGTCTCGCCTGTCGGGGAGACGCTCAGATGGCAGAGCCGGGCTCGGCGGCCTGGGGAGGGAGGTGGAGTCTGGCCGTCCTCCGCCCGCCCTCCCTCCATTGTCAGCGGCAGCCGGCGGTGGCGGCGGGCACCTGCTGGGGCCGCCGGTGGCAGGGATGCTCCTGCCCTTTGCGGCGGAGCGGGGAGGCTGCCGCAGTCCCCGCGCCGGGGTCTGGGAGCCGCTGCCGGCAGCAGCAGAGGGACGGAGGAAGGAGATGCTGCTTGCGCCTGCCCGGCCCTGCTGCCGCCTGGGGAAATGAACATGAGTCTGCCAGGCCGCGTCTCCTGCTCCATGCTCAACTGCTTTGTAAGTCCTGCTTTCCCTTCCCCCCCCTTCTCCTCCATGTAAGCCAGCTTCTCCCTCCAGCTCCCGTGCTGCCTTGGCTGCCCCGGATCAGGCCTGTCCTTGAGGCGGGGGCTGCGTTCGGATCCTCCTGCCCTGCATCTGCCCGGTCTGACGCGCGGCCCCCCCTGACACGGGGGATCCCCTTCTCTGCCTCCCACGTGCCGTGGTCCCCACCGGTGCCGTGCTGCTGTCCTGCCCGGGCCCAAGGGCACGGCGGGCTGAGTCGGCTGCAAGGCCCCGGCGAGGGTTCTGTGCCGTTCGGTGCCGTTCGTGCCACGCAGGCTCCGGCCGGTCCTTGCTTGGAGCTGGAAAATTACCGTGAGAGGGCAGGCAGCCCCAGGGGAGCCCTGTGCTCCCGCCATGGCTACGGCCTGCAGGGCAGGGGATGCAAGGGCCCCTCCTGTGCTGATGCTGCCAGGATGGTGCTGGGGGGGGGAGTCCTGAGCTCTGCATCTTCTATACCTTCGGGGAAAGGAGTTTCCTTGCTCAGAGGCAGATCTGATGCCCCTTTCTGCAGATTTCCCCCCCCCCCCCCCAAATGACTTCTGGCCAAATGGGCTCTGAGGGCATCAAGAGATGGGTGGCTTGTGAAGAGAGTGGGGTCCTGAGCCCTCTGCCCTGCTGATGCCCCCAGACAGGGCTGTGTTGGGAGGGGATGCTCAGCTGCCTGCCTGGCCCGTGCTGCAGGCGAGGAGGAGCTCAAGGGCACCCAGGCCGGCGGAGGGCTCGGGCTGCCCTGTTCCCGTTCTGGCTGCTCACTGGGATTTCTTTGCGAGCTGCAAAGTGGTGATGGGAGAGGAAGGACATCTCTGCTCCCTGCCCACTGCACCGGCACACAACACCCACCATCCCTTTGTGCTCTCCTGGGCTAGCACCTCAGTCTCGGAGCGAGCTGCTGGCAGGAGGGGCTACTGAACCCCCCGTGGTCTCCATCCCCATGCAGGCACCTGGTGAATGGGTGAGGAGGGGCAGCACCTTTGCCTCTGGCTGGGACTGATGCCGAGTTCGGTGCTGGCCACGAGCAATGTGTGCACAGGTACTGCTGCTACCGGGCCGGAGACGGGCTGCGGGCTCTGGCTGCCCTATTCCGGGGAGCACCCCAGGTACCAGGGGGTGCCAAGGTGGCTGTTGGCAACATGAGGGGATTCAGCATAATTTTAAATATAACTGTATAACTGACCCGAAAGGGTCAAGTTCTCATTTCTTCAGGTTGAAATTCAGGGTTCTGGCTTCAGTGACTTAACCAGAAAGATATTTCATTGTAAAATATTATTTAATGCTGGCAGAACAGAGTATTTCCTAAGAAATGCTGGAGCCTAGAGGAGCTGTAGTTAGAGAGCAAGAAGCACTTTGAGGAATGCGTTCCCACACCAAATACCCGGGCAAGTAGCACCGTCCTGGGCTCGCAGCAGGCGAGTGCCCTCAGCTGAGGGTCTGGGTGCTGCTCACCCGTGCAGGGAGATGGTGGTGTGGCAGAGCATGGGGTGAGGGCTGGACAAAAGAAGGACCCATGTTTTCATGAGTGACTGAGGATTCATGGGTCGCAAACTGAGACACTCTCTCCACTTTTCCTAGGATGGTGTGTCTGGGCTCCATGTCTCCTCTCAGACCACTTCTCTGAGGCCTCCATGGGCTTCCCAGGGTGTCTGTCTGAGCAGGTTGGGCACCTTCAGCTGCTCTGAGGACAAATGCCCTGCTTGGGTGCTGTCACCAGTCAGCGGCACGTGTTGGGTGCTCTTAGATGCCCTTGTTAAAGGGTTACGTTTCACACTTGCATATACTTCTGGAAAAGCTTCGGGCTCTTCCCAGATTTCTTGGGACCAACAGTGAAAATCATATTAAGATCATAGAGTCCAACCATCACCAAAATGAAAACTCCCCAAAGAACACAGTCCTTGTGATCATAAGAAGAGGAGTAGGTTAAAGCTGAACTGTAGATGGAAACCCTTTGTGTTAGGGAGTTTCTGCTGCAGTGCCATAGCGAAAGTAGCAGTGTAAATTTGTCATTTGACGTGACAAACTGCTGTCCCATGGGTCTGAGATCCTATGTGTGGTCAAGGTGTATCTTCTTGGCTTTCCAAGTACCACACACCTGGAAGGGACAGGACTTGGAGACCTGTTTCAGTCTGTCACTGAATCACTGGTGGGTAATTCTGCAATAGCAGGAGGAACTGCCGGGCTCCTGCAATGCAGAGAGCTCAGTCCAGAGGTGTTTCCATGCACAGGTCCAGGAGATCCCTATGGTCTTGGGGTGCCATGAGTATCCAGCAGTCTCGATTTTTGGCTTCTCATAAAAAATGCTGTCTGACGGTGTGTTTTGTTTGCAATGCAGGGTGAGGAGGGCCCTCCCAGTTTGGAGTATATCCAGGCCAAGGACTTGTTCCCCCCGAAAGAGCTTGTGAAGGAGGAAGAGTCATTGCAGGTAAGGAAGAGAACCGAATCTGTCCATTCTGGGCTGCGGCAGGCTGGACTGGGGCAGTGGGAAACCCGAGGGCAGTTCTCCAGCCCGGGATGGGTTCTGGCAGCAGCTGGTGGTGCTGTAGGTCACGCTTGGACCAGCGAGTCCTTCGTGTGCTTGGAGGCTGCTGAGGGCAACTCTTGGCCCTGGCCCTGCCTCCCCAGCCCTGCCAGGACACTGCAATTCCCACAGCATTGCCTCTGCTGCTTGGAAAGGATGGCTGGAGCGTGATTCACTAGAGCTGCCCTGGGCATTCCCTGCCTGTGCTGACAGTGAGAAATCGTGACGCTGCCTGCGGAGCTCTGCAGCAGGTAGACACTGTCTGGGACAGGTCGAACATCAGGGCCAGGCTGTGCTCTGCGTAGCTGTGGCGTTAATTGCGATGGATGATCTGGCCCTGATTCACATTGCTCCTGGCATTTTCCTGCTGCACAGCTGTTGGAAAGAGAAACCTCTGTGTGGTGCCAACCTCCTGCTGAAAAAGGCCCTTAAAGAGCCCCCTGTGCAGCAAGGGCAGTATTCTGAGCAGCAGGAGCCAAAGCCTCCTTCTGTTTCATAGAATGGTTTGGGTTGGACGGGACCATATAGACCATCCAGTGCCACCCCCTGCCCTGGGCAGGGACACCTCCCACCAGACCAGGTTGCTCCAAGACCCCTACAACCTGGCCTTGAATCCCTCCAGGGATGGGGCAGCCACAGCTTCTCTGGGCAACCTGGGCCAGGCTCTCACCACCCTCACACCAAAGAATTTCTTCCTGAGATCTCATCTCAATCTCCCCTCTTTCAGTGTCAAACCCTTTCCCCTCATCCTATGGCTCCCCTTCCTGATCACGAGTCCCTCCCCAGCTTTCCTGGAGCCCCTTTAGGTACTGGAAGAGGCTCTAAGGTCTCCCTGGAGCCTTCTCTTCTCCAGGCTTAACACTCCCAACTCTCTCAGCCTTGTCACCTCCTTTAACGTAGCCCACTGCCAGCTTGTCCCAGTGCTCATCATCCTCGTTGTACGTTACCGCTGCTGCTGCAGTGTTGGGATTTGCTCAGAGCAGTGTTGTGTCCGTAAACGGTGCTGATAAAAGCAAGGAGTGAAACATGGAGGAGCAAAGGCAGCCGGGCAGGGGCCATGGCTCGGATCTGTGGCCAGCAGGAGGTGAAGCCACTGAGCCCTTTCCGAGCTGGGACCACCGAGAGAAGAGAATCTGCTTTCGTCTTCTGTGTGGAGGACCGTTAAGTTCACCCCTCCCAAAGGGTGATTTGCCTTCAGTAAATTGTTATTCTCTTAATGCAAAGCCTAAAAGGACAAGTCTAAAAGGATGCCATCAGCTCAGTAACAGGCTGTGTTCAGGCACCTGTCAGGTTATTCCAGGATTTCCCTGTCAGTTCTTGCAGTTTTACCATCCCATTTCTAATCTGTCTTCCTTCTGTGGCTGTGTGAGAGAGCCACATAAGCAGGAGAAACATGTGCCAACTTAAAACAGCTCTGGCTATCATGCATAAATAAACTGCAGAAATAAAGAGTATATTCTCTTAATGTCAAATAATTAACATTTTTAAAGGGTTTTCAGACAGGTGCCAGTCTAAGGTTGTTATTTTCCTAGAAGTAACTTGAGAAGGAAGAGGTTGCTCATACAATTGTCACTTGCACGTGAAGTCTGAAATTCAATTTTTAGTCACCGTATACCCAAGCCATAGAAACAACTCGGTGATAAAGACAAGGCTGTCTGACGTGCACTAATTACAGTGTAATGAATTGGTTCCATCAGATGCCCTGTCTAGCAAGTGAACGGCTCTGGCTGAAATAATAATTCTTCGTGACCTTTTTTGCATAAATGATTACCAACATCACCTGGTGTAGGTGGCCTTCAGGGAAGAGTGAGGAGTTTACTTGGCTAAGGAAAAAGGGGGCTGGTGGACTTTAGGCTGTTCTGCCGCCTTTTTTTTTTTTTTTTTTTTTCTTTTAATACAAGAAAAGAAAGGTCACACTTGGCCACCTGCCAGGAGCCCCTGTTTTAAAAATAGCTACAGTGTGTCTGGGCCGATAGGGAAAACAGACAGACACTTGATTATCTGGATTTAAAAAAAAAAAATAATATTCTAATGCAGGTAACTTTAATGAAGTTTCCACAGTCGGGATATATCTTTATAGATAGAGATTACCTCTGAGCCTTATTAGCAGAAACTGGGCAAAGCTTTGATTTATTTCCTTACCTGGATTGGTACCAGTGGGTCTTGCAGTGCTGCTAGGAGCCCCCTTCATTTAAATGCTGCAGCAGGACTGCATATGGGACCCATCTCTTGGGGCAGAGGGCTCCGATCCTGTGGGCTCTGCCTGGAGCTGTGCAGAGCTCTCCCCAGCTCGGGTCTGAGCGGTGCCACACGTTGTGTCCTTCCTCACCCCACTCATGCCAGGGCTGTGTCCACCCTCTCTTAAAAGCAGGGACCATAAAGCCCTCTGTCCCCATGCAGCACCCTCGGGGCCAGATGGTGTTTGAGGTCACATCTCTCCTGGACAAGCAGTTGTCCATCGGGAGGTGTCCAGTGGTTCCCAAGGTATCCTTGAAAGAAAGTCCACCACATGGGGCTGGGCTGTTGGTGGTCCCCGCTCTTGGTGCACAACGAGCACGTTGCTGTGCTTGATTTCCCAGAGGAGATGTGCCCCAGGGGCAGTTGGAAGAGCGGTTTGTGGTATTTACAGTGCACAAAGTCTGTCCTGAACCAGTGCTGTCTCCCTTCCAGGTCCCATTCACCGTGTTGCAGGGCGAGGGAGTGGAGTACCTTGGCCATGCAAACGATGCTGTGATTGCCATCTCCAACTACCGGCTTCATATCAAATTCAAGGATTCTGTGATCAATGTAAGTCTGGATCTTTCCTGCTGCCTGGACCAAATCTCTCGCAGTGTTTGGGGGCAGGGGAGGGTGGGCAGGGGTGAGATAAGCCATTTCTGTGGTCCGTGGTGTGGGAACTGGGCCTCTTGAAGGATGCTAAGCCTGATGCTGCCTCTCGTTACTGCTGCTCATGCTGTTGCTCATTTGCTGCTGCATTTTGGGGTCTGGATGGGCCTTTCTTTTGGGTAATAATTAGAACTTTTCTTTGCTGTTCTCTTAAAATTCAGGCATTAAATTTGGCATTTTTAAGACTCACAGGCCAGTTTTAATGAGACTTCTCCTACCTGGAGACCAGCAACTGAGAGTCAGACAGTGAGACCCTGAGGCATTTCTTCCCTGTCTTCAGTTGCAATCTTTTATTACAGCTTTTGTTTGGCTCCGTTACCTCTGCTTGTCGGGATGCCATTTACTCAGTAACTGGCCCCAGGTGGGAAACTACCCAGGGACAGAATAGAAATTGGAATAGTAATTGTCGAAGGAGGCTCTGCGCTGAGTCATGAAGCTGCATAAACCTCAGAGTGGGTTTGTAGCTGGAACTGGAAGCTCACGATGTTGACGGAGCCGTGACTGTGCGTGATGGGCCCGCGGGCAAGGCTGCCATGAGATGTGGGATGTCTTGTCATGCCCTACATCTGTCCCTTGCAGGTGCCTTTGAGGATGATGGAAAGCGTGGAGTGTCGGGATATGTTCCAGCTTCACATCGTCTGCAAGGACTCCAAAGTGATCAGGTATCCCTCCTGCTGCTCTGCCGTAGGTGTCACTGCCACCATCAGCTCTGCTGTCTCCCCCTGTGCTGCCCTTGGAACCGAGCTGTTCATGGCCGAGGTCACTAAGACTCGGTGCTTTGCTCCTGTTGCTGGTTAAGTGGAGCAGAGCCCCCTGTCTGTATGAACGTACCCACCAAGGATGATTTGTGTTTGGATTTGCAGGTGCCATTTTTCCACCTTTAAGCAGTGCCAGGAGTGGCTGAAGAGGCTGACTCGAGCCATTGCCCGCCCTGCTAAGCCTGAGGACCTCTTTGCATTCGCCTACCACGCATGGTGCTTAGGAGTCTGTGTTGATGAGGAGGATCAACATGCACATCTCTGCCGTCCAGGTAAGGTCCTGGCCCCAGGGTCCCCTTCCTGCTCTTCTGGCCAGAATTTGCAATGCAATTTGAACTCTTGTTCATAACCTGATGTCTGGCTAGGTCTTAAGCACCACTGTGGCCATAGCCCAAGTTCATCTTGCTGAGGGACATCCTGTACCTGGCTTGAGATCCAGCTGATGGCCAAATGCAGCTGGATAACAAGCACAGTAAAAGGAATAATAGTAATAAGTATAATAAAGAGCATTCTGAGCCAGCAACACATAAGCAGCTTTTCCCTTTCTCCTTGTGAATGTAGAAAACAAACTTTAGTATTCTCAGCGTGATGACGGAGAGCTCAAGCAGTCTTGTCCCTGGCTGGGAAAAATCAGCAGCTTTGAGGCAGAATAATTAATAGGAGTCCATCTGCATCTCTTCTCCAACACCTCGAAATGCCATGACATTCGATGAGCAGCTCCGTGGAGATGTCTGGCTCCTGCTTACACATGCACAAGTGAAATCTTTGAATCCATAAGGAAAAAAACAGAGCTGTGATGGTGCCCTCGTATGGATCAGGATTTCCCATTCTCTGGGAACACAAAGTTCACTGACAGTTGCTTTGTCTTTAAACAGCTTCAGCATGAATAAAAGGGGATTAAAACAAGCGACAAGCCTGTCTTTAGACTTGAGAACGTGCTGGTGTTAGAGGAGAGAAGCAGTGGCCTGAATGAAAGGTCTGTACACAGGCTGGGCTGGAGGGTTGGGGCTGAGTATTGCTGCTGAAAGGGATACCAAAGAGAAACGGATAGAGGAAAGGTAAACTGCCTGCTCTTACCCTGTCCCAAACACCAACAGTTGGGAGATATTTGCTGCCTCTTCCTTCAGAGGAAGGATTATTCTGGAGTATAAACAAGCTTATCTGTGAAAATTCTTGCTGCAGGATATGAATGAGGCAAAGAGCTTTTTAGTATTTATTTGGTAACAACTTTTGATACGCAAGCAACAAAGACATCCAGAGTTTGTATGGCAAGGCCAAAACATAAGAAAGCAAATGCAGAGTCAGGCGGAGAGTGCAGCCCGGGAGAAGGAAGGGCCAGTGAGGTGCTCAGCACTCCTCTGGCCTGGGGTTCCTGCCATCTCCTTTGGAAGCCTTCTCTGTCAGAAGGGCAAAAGTGGGTTAAATTAACCCCCTCCACTCCCACACTGACGTGAGAAGGCTGTTTCCATGCTGCTGTGTGCCCTGAGACTGAGAGGTCATCTGACTTGACAAAAGCAGCAGAGGAACCCCTGTGAGGGGTGAGTCTTTTTGGCTTCTGAAGCGGGATCCCTGCCATCCAGCTGTGCGCGAGTCTCTCCCCAGCCTGTGACAGCTGCTGTGGAGCCACCACCAACAGGGTTAGATTTCATCAGTTCTGCTTGGCTGTCAGTCAGTCAGTGCCCTGTGCTCTGCTCTTCCAGGAGACCATGTGAGATACCGCTTTGAGATGGAGCTGGTGAGGATGGGCTTCGACTTGCAGAACGTCTGGCGCGTCTCTGACATCAACAACAATTACAAGTGAGTGCTTCACCACCAGGTTCTTCCCTCTCTCCTCTTTCCTCACCTTCTTCCCTTTGCAGTCCCCTTGTGGAGCAGTGGATGAGTCAGACCCCAGCTAATCCTCCTTCCTGCCTTGATAACCCTCAGGCAGATCAGCATATGAAGCAGATCCCCTTTTGTTCTGCCCTTCACATCATGGAACTGAGGAAGGAATGCGGCCCAAACACCAGAGCTAGCAGCACGTCTAAATGCTGACTCATGTAGCTTATAATGTGGCAGCCATAATTCATCCTTGAAGATGTTCTGGAGTCTTGGAGGAACTGTCCCTCATAGGGTTGCTTTTCTGGTCAGTCATTGTGTCTAAAATGCTCGCGCTGTTTGAAATTAGAAATACCAAGTTTTCTTAAAGTCGGGCAGCTTTTCAGCTCAGTTGAGAAACAGGAGTAGCCAGGGAAAGGCTGTCAGGATGCTTGGAAGTCTTGGGGAGTCATAGAATCACAGAATGGTTGGGGTTGGAAGGGACCTTAAAGACCACCCAGAGCCACCCCCTGCCCTGGGCAGGGACACCTCCCACCACACCAGGTTGCTCCAAGCCCCCTCCAACCTGGCCTTGAACCCCTCCAGGGATGGGGCAGCCACAGCTTCTCTGGGCAACCTGGGCCAGGCTCTCACCACCCTCACACCAAAGAAGTTCTTCCCGAGATCTCATCTCAATCTCCCCTCTTTCAGTGTAAAACCCTTTCCCCTCATCCTATGGCTCCCCTCCCTGATCAAGAGTCCCTCCCCAGCTTTCCTGGAGCCCCTTGAGCCCTTTCCAGTCCCTAAAGGGGCTTCCTGGAGCCTTCTCTTCTCCAGGCTGAACTCCCCCAACTCTCTCAGCCTGTCCTGACAGCAGAGGGGCTCCAGCTCTTGCAGCATCTCCATGGCCTCCTCTGGCCCCACTCCAGCAGGTCCATGTCCTTTCTGTGCTGTGAATGAGCGAGATTTGTTCAGTCTGGTGCAGAAGAGTCTAAGGGGTGATCTCCTTGCAGGCTACAGTTGCTGGAAGGGTAGTTACAACGTTGACAGAGTGAAACCCATCTTCTGACCGTGGCAGGTGACTGAACAAGAGGCAACCGCCACAAGTTGCAGCTTGGGAGGTTCAGACTGGACATGGGAGGGGAAAAAAACATTCCCCAGGAGAGCGGTGCCATGCTCGGAGAGATCCCCAGAGAGGTGAAAGTTCTCTGTAATCACAGCTTTTTGGGTCTGGGATGATCTAGTGCTCGAGGTGGCCCCTGTGGGTGGGTGGCTGGAGATCTCTAGAAGGTCTTTCCCATCAGCACATCAGTGATTCCAGCCTATCTTCTGCTCCTGGAGAAGAACACAGGAGCTCTTGGAGAAGCGCTGCTGCATTCTTTGCAGCAGGTGGCATTAAGCCAACAGGATTTTATTCAGCTTTGACAGAGGTATTCATGTCTGCATTCCTTATAATCCTTTCCTTGAAATGACTGGTATTCCTCAGCCTTTTCTCTGTGTCTCAGCCAGAAAAGGCGTCCCCATTGCCTGGACATCGAACAGTTCCAGGTCACCTCTTTCTTTTGGAGAAGCCTCAGGCACAAGCCTTGGGAAATCCCCATGGAGTTCTGCAGTTTGCTGCCTCTTCTCTGTTCTCTTCCTCCAGAATCCAGGCAGAAAGCACTAGATTTGGGGGTTCATTTTTAGTTTTTATCTGGCCATAGTGACCACATTGTTGCTTTTGGAACCGCATTGTTGCTTTTGGACATCTAACGTGACTTTGACGGCATTTACGCAGTTTCTCCAAGGATGTCCTGAGTGTACAACCTGCAGGTCCCTGTCCTGGGTAGAGTCTCTGCATGTCTTTGAGTTGGTCAGGCTTTCTCCTGCTTCTGGATTTTGGGATGTGGTTCTCTCTGACTATTTCAGAAAGTTCAACTTAGATTGACCATCTGTGGTTCACTTCCTGGCCAGTAATACACAGCCATTGGCCGACTTCTTTAAAGACAGATGTTTTATTTCCTACCAAACTAGGGAAGGGAGAACTTGAAACAAACCTCAGCAAGCTGGATGCAGGCCTGGCTTTGCTTCCCTCCATGTGCTGAGCTCCTACCTGGGGATCCTGGCAGGTCTGGGCTTCCTCAGACATCCC